GTTTTTAAAGCCAGGGAATTAGCGTCGATAAAATGTTAACTGATCTACAGACTTTATTCCGATTTGGCAGTAGTCAACTAATAGCATTTTTTCCAGTCTAGGAGTCAATCCAGGATCCCACATTGCATTTAGTTGTCCTGTCTTAGTCTCCCCCAGTGTGGGACAGATCGTCTATTTTTTTAAATTTCCAGACCGACCCTGGCACTTTTGAAATTGTACTGGTCGGTTATTTTGTAGACTTTTTATCTTTAAATGCATCTGGTTTATGTATGCATTTAATGTTGAGATACGAGGCTTTTCCTTTGTGTCACAATTATAAGCTATTTCTTTCAAAGAAACTTGACTGTGTCATTGCCAATTATTAGGACATTTTTGAATGAAAGGTGATGTGACGTCGTTGGCCTTTGTTTAGAATCATAACTTGTCCCAGGCAGAACGGCCTTGCGTGTCCTCTGGTGGTCCATCGCCCTGGCTCCAGAGATGGCAGCATCATGGGGTGTGTGTCTGCTTGTCCTTTGTTCTTTCTGCTTCATCATCCCATTGTCCTGAAAGGCCGATGCACAAGCATTCAGAAATGTATTGACTTAAAGATGTTTTGTCCTTGAACATTGAAATTTTGACTAATCGATGATTCATTTGATCTTTGTATGAAATCAACTTTGCTTTCCTCTAAGATAGACTATTGCATGTAGGTCATAAAGGAAACTTGGCACAGTCCCTGGTGATGTTTTTGTTTAACTAAAATGCCACATCTCTTTTCTGCAGCTCCCCTGCTTTGCATGTGGATGTTTGGAAGCAGCCTGAGGAACAAAGATTCTCATAATGCTTATGAAACAGAAATGTTAACATACAGACTTATTTTAGGTCCTCTTGGCCTTTGTAGGACTAACACAGCTCTGTCGCTGAGTTGCTTCCTTGTGCTCTCTTGGATGCCATTTAGAAGTTGGTACACAATGGCTCCTTTGGAGGTCATTGACTCTTTTTTGGGAGGGGGTATTATAAAAGGCAGGCATTAACTTCTGAGCCTTTTGGAAAGTTGGTATTTTAAAAAGTCCTTACTCTTAACAGTAAGCTTTATGAAAGCTTGTATAATTTTCCCTTGTAAGTAAGAAAGGTAAATAACTATGTCGTCATGAAACTCTTCCCACAAATAGAGTGACTGTTAATTCCTGTAATTGGATGGACTCCATTTTTTGGCCTCTCACTTTTCATAGCTCTGTGTTTGTCTTAATGTGTATTTTCTCTTTTTACCCAGTGTTTTGCAGTTTTTGGCCTCTAACCTTTTATTTATTTACTTATTTAGGCCTCTTACCCATTGATGTGTAAAAAGTAATTGAAAGCAAGGTATATGACAATGTAGAAGAGTCTCCATTTTACCCTTGTTAGACTGTGGTATTTGCAATAGATTTGTATCTCAGGAAAAGGAAAAGGAGTTAGTTTACACATTTGGTAAAGAACGTAAACTCATGAATAAGTTCAAAATGAAGTGAAGTATACCTTGGAAGATCCCTTAAGTCAGCCAGAATATATGGCATATGTGGTGACTATACACAGCCCCCCGTGTGGTAATTATTTTTGTGCGACTGCAGCTTATGATCCACTGAGCCAGGTTCAGAGATGGCACGCATTTTGGGCAGATACCTGGGTGTTCACACCACTTAGCTTCCATGAGAGTCCCCAGCGTGGAGTGGGGATTGGAAAATCCGTGTGACCCTGTTTATGCCATTGCCATTATGCCTTTCATGCAGAGACTCCTTATCTTAATAGTTGTTGATTGGTTTACTCATTTGGGGAAGTACTAAATGAGATAATACATATGGCAGGCTCTAATACAGGCATGGGCATAGTAGAACAGTGCATACTCAGTAAGTCTTTGATGGCCTTAATCCTGACCTAGCTTGATCCGTTCCAGTGTCACACCGCATTGGAAAAAATGTCCAGAGAAACCTGTCCACTGCTTCCTGCCTTCCCAAATTGGCATTCCTGTTGATGACCGTCTTTCAGAGCGTTCCCTCTCTCAACCCCTTGTGAACCAGAGTTCAGAAAAATGTTCGTGAATTAAATCATGAATATTCAAGTTACCACAAGGTGGCGTCAGATCATTTCAAGTAATGCCAGATAGGGGGAGCCTCAACATAATAAATCTTTCATTTTAAAAAAGTTAAAATATATGCCTTTCATGTCATGGTATTTAGTTATTGTAAACAAACCTCTCATTTCTTTTCCCATTCAGGATCTCTTGTGTTTGGCTAATAAAACCTTCATTTTACTTGTTATTTACAAGCATTGTCTGTTGAGTGACCCTTAAGTATTTTATGATGACACCTTTCCACAATTTCTCATTTCCTTATTATCCCTTAGTTTGATTTATTTTCTCCTGATATGTTTATTTTTTTTCTTGTTTTTTTTTTCCCCAACTAATACGTAAACTCTGTAAGAGGCTGCAATTTTATTTCATTACTATATCCTCAGTGCCTAGAACAGTGCCTGGCATGGTAGGTACTCAAAACCTCTTAAATGAAGAATTTTCACTATTGTTTCAGTCAATGCTCTTTGGCTTAATAAGAAAATCTTAAAATTATGTTAAAGTGTGAAGTTTCTGAGTTCATATTCTTTGGGAATTTTACTGATAATTTAGTGAAGCAATTAGAACTTGAAAGCTTTTATCAGTCTCCTCCTCTGGTGGTTACATTTCAGATCTCCTCCATAATTTAGTAATCTTCCTACAACTTACAGTGTGTTTGTAATATTCATTCAGGGTGTATTGATGAATGCAAAACGAACAGACTAGGACTAGTCAAGGAAATACTTTCAGACTTGCATTTTATCGTGGCACAAAAGTTTCTATTCACACACACACACACACAATTCAAGGGATCTGTGTGAAGCTCAGATACCTTCCTTGCTTGAGGGGTGCTCTGTAAGTGAGGCCCCTTGCAAGGAACAGAATAGCTAAACTTGATCCTACCTAATGGACACTATCTGAAAGTTAAACTTCAAGAAAGCAGTGGCCATAATTTTGAGCATTTTTTTTCTGGAGCAAAAATGAATGAATGAATGAATGAATGAATGAATACTTAAAACTCAGTTTTTTTGATTACTCATCAAGATTGCAGTTGCCAGGATGGGCATGATGAAGTGTCAAGGCTACTGAGGGCTGACCAGAGAGAACTGATCATCTGTTCCCTTCATAGATCATTCTCCAAACAAAATAAGGTTTATTTTCTAAATTGGCCCCCTAGGGAGCGAGGTTCATCTTCCTAATCATTCATTCATTCAGCAAAAATTTATTGAGTGCCTACTATATGTCATACACTGTGCTAGTGGTAGAGATACAGGAGTGACTGAAATAGATCATATTCCTGTTCTCATAGAGTCTCTGTTCTCATCCAGTGTCTTTTGGGGCCACAGATATCTTTAATAACGTAGGTAATGGACCCTTTTCTGTGAAATCAATCAGTTAGCCAACCCCCCCCCCCCCCCCCCCCCCCCCCCCCCGCCCACACGTGTGCATGCAGGTACCTGTGTGAGATATGGGAGACCCACACCCTGGGTAACATATACCACTTCCTGGGGTTCCAGAGACTTGAAGCTCAAGTTCATCAAGTAGAAGGCCCCCTTTTCCTGCTCTTCAGCCTTTTCACTGCTCTCCTTCCCCTTCGGCACTTGTTGATGTCTTGGATAAGACTTCCTGTCATTTTCTTTGCAGGTTTGATCACATGATGAAGCAGTGTAAGTCTTTGGGCAAAGAGCCCAAGGAGTGCTCTGCAGGCTTGGACCAGGGGCCCCCTTGTCTTATGGGGAAGTCACTTTCACCCCTGAAGTCTTTCTCTTTGCACCTGAGCAATAGAAAGGGTTGGATTTGAGTAATTGTGAGGTCATTCAAGGGTAGGTTAGGTAGGCAGGTTTAGAAGGCAATAGAAAATATCTGTGGGTAGATTATAATCTCAGTGCTAACTAGCTGGGTGATTTTGAGCAGATTACTTAGTTTATGCGGGCCTTATTTTTCACATGTGAAAGGGAAAAAGCAGTATTTACCTCATGGTATTGTTTTGAGAATTAAAATGAAATAATGTATGTAAACTGCCTGTGACAAAAATGATAGCTTTTGCCAGCCTTCTTTTATCCAAATTGTCTTTCTGGGCAATTAATAGATAAATGATCATTGAGCACCTGGAGTAGACTACTTCTAATTATTTTCCTCTGATGCTAAACCAGCTGCCAGGCAGTAGTACCCAATCATAGTGGAAGGTTCACTGTGTATTAGGCCTGGTTTAATTTCACGCCTCTCCCACTAACTAGCTGGGTGACCCTAAACTCTAACCTTTATCCAGTTTCTGTTTCTGGCAGATGAAGTAATGATAACATATGACCCAGCCACAGCAGAGAAGCTGTTTTGGGATTTAAACAAGGTTATGTAGGGGCACCTGGGTGGCTCAGTCAGTTGAGCATCCAACTCTTGATTTTGGCACAGGTCACAATCTCATCGTTTGTGAGATCGAGCCCCACGGCAGGCTCCATGCTGACAGCATGGAGCCTGCTGGGGATTCTCTCTTTCTCTCTCTCTCTCTCTCTCTCTGCACCCATCCCCCCACCAACCCCCCTCTCGAAATAAATAAACTTAAAAAAATAAACAAGAACGTGTAAGTGAGTAAAGCATGTAGCACAGTGCCTGCTACCAAGGACACTCTTCATTTAGGCCAGGCTGGTTCCATACTAATAGTAATACTTATTAATTAGATTAACCTCACCCTCCCTTCTCTGCCCAGGGCTGTGTTGGATCTAAAGGTTTCCCCTGGATTTATACAAGTTGAATTCATGATAGCTTCTTACTTATCTAGGCCCAAGTAGTACAACGAAGGGCCTTGATTGAAAACTGGCCTTAGAGTTGCTTGGAAAATATTTACCGTTCCTGCAAATAACTGTGGTTACTATGAGGTAGTTCATTTTGGTGAAGGATGAATGGTAATTCTTCTTTATGTGTTTTCATTTAGTATCCCAACCCCATGGATAAAAATGTCATCTCTGTAATAACTGTGGAGGAAAAAAGAGGTAAGTTCTCTGAATATACCTCACTTCAGTGATGATCATTAAGTAATAGTGATGTTTGTCAAGGTGTGTGTGTGTGTAGCCTATTTTTCTTTTTTCTTTTTTTAAGTTTATTTTTTATTTTGAGAGAGAGACAGAGAGAGTGAACGGGAGAAGGGCAGAGAGAGGGAGAGAGAGGGAATCCTACGCAGACTCCACACTGTCAGCGCAGATCCAGATGTGGGGCTTGAACTCACAAACTGTGAGATCATGACCTGAGCTGAGATCAAGAGTCGGACGCTTAACTGAGTGAGCCACCCAGGCACCCCAGCCTATTACCTTTTAAACAGATATGAGAACAGGTGTATTTCTGTATTTGAGGTGACAGAGAAGAATACCCAGCATTTAAAGCAGCAGTAGAAGTCTTGTTTAATATGCTTTTGTCACTCAATTAATGACTGATGACAATAGTAACAGCCAACATTTCTGAGCACTGAATATATGCCAGGCACTCTTATTAACTCCTTTAATCTGCAGAATAATGTTTGGGATATGTATTATTATTATTGCCTTTTAATGTATGAAGAAATCAAGGTACTGAGAGGTTAAATAAATTGCCCAAGGTCACATGACTATATCCCTATAATATATTCATGTATCATTGTATATACGACAAAACATTTGTGATTAGTAGCATGTATGTAAGATGTGATTGTAAAGTGATTATATTATAGAATATGATTCCATATTGACCAGCGCAGGGGTGGGCAAGCTATGCTTGTCCTGCTTGAATTTGTGAATAAAGTTTTATTGACATACAGCCGTGCCCACTTGTTTACATATCTTCTATGGCTTCTTCTTGGCGACAAGAGCAGAGTTAAGTTGTTGCAACAAGACTGTTCATACCATAAAGCATAAAATATTTACCATTTGGCCTTTTACAGGAAAGGTTTATTCACCCCTAGACTAGAGCGTAGGAGTCTCCACTGCTCTCTGTCATTTGTATTTCCCTGGAATAATTTTTCACTGTCATTGCCTGGACTTGAGAACTGGGCCACATAGGAAGTTTTGGTGAGGCACATAATCAGTATGTAAACATTTGGAGACACCCAGGCCCACTTCTGACACACTCTTGAGCCTTCTGAGAAAATGTGTGAGATGCCACTGTTTGTTACGTGACTCTGAAGTCTTCTCTGTGCTTGGTAAACACAAAAACTGTCTTTTGCTTGTGAAGGTATTTTCTTTGTGTCCATACTCTATTAATAGATTTTAGAAAACATTTTTTTCATGTGTCTGCACTCAGTGTGAGAGAAACTTGTAATGGGGCATCAGAGAAATCTGGTTCCAAGCCTTGATTTTGTTACTCCCTGCATGACCTACCTTCTTCGAGGCTCTGTTTCTTCGCTTATTAAATGGGAAAATAATATTAATCCTGCTTTAGGTTGTTATGAAGATCAAATGAAAGAACAATATGTGTATTCCAAAGTGGTATAGGAACATTAATTATGATTTATACCATTGACGGGAGCATCGTTGCCTGCAGGAGTGGCTAGTCCATTTTAAGTGGATGTGCTGCAAACATTGGATAAGCTGGCTGAAGGAAGGCCAGTGGGCAGGAGACAAACCCACTCCTCACCCTGTCAGTGGCTTCTGGGCAGTCTGGATATTTGCATTGTCCGGGCTACTATAGCCAGAGATTTGAGAAACCCTACAGGAGCTTGGCTGAGTCGCAGTAATTTACAGGCCAAAAGAGAATACTTCAGAGTTTATTTTTTTCTATGACTTGGACTCCCCTTTTCTTAATTCACATTTATTGTGTGCTTTTTACATTTTTGGAAACTCTGTTCCAAAACAGAGTAGTGCCAGTCACAGGGAATCTGTTTCTTTATGAGTGAAGACTTTGGCTAATATAATTAATTGTAGGTTTACATTGTGTACCTAGAAATCTGTGCTTGAAAACATGTTTGGTGCAGAATGTGGCAGAATCAGATTCTCCACATTCTTGTGAAAACATCTGTATTGGATTTGGGCAGAGGTCTCATTGGCCCTTGTCATTGGAGTGTTGACATTGATAATACAGAGCAGTGAACAGTTTGTGATTCTTTCTCTCTGACTTTAGAGCATGCAGAGTGAGTAGCTGCCTCACCCTTATTCCTTGATTACAGATAAGTGTATTTGGAATGATTTGGCCCAGAAAAGTGGTCAGGGATACTGAGTTTTGAGTTAAACATTTTTCTCTAGGAATTCTACATAGAGAAAACTGACATCAAAATGAAAAGTTTTGTTGACATTAGGATAGGAGTACATATCCTTAAAACATTTTTTGAGTGTAAAAATTTTCTGTTTCTAGATGTGTCAACAGGGATCATCTATAGAAAGAGGATTGCAGTCTGTCAGAATGTGGTTCCAGAAATTTTAAGGAAGGTAAATTCATTTTAAAATTTAATCAGATTTGGTGTGACACTGGGTGATTTTCACACAGTCCTGGAAAGAGATGGCATTTTCTGATGTCCAGGCGTGTTAGAACTTTCCCAGTTGGACCTCACAGCTCCTCAGAGGAAGAAAGCACTCTCATATCTAACCTCAGTTTTGGCAGATGCCACGGGAGATAGTTTTTTTCCCCCCTTCTGTTTCTGCTTCTCTTTTGTGGAGGGCTCTTAGTGGACATAGAGATGGTCTACAATTATTTTATTTTATATATTTTTTCAATATATGAAATTTATTGTCAAATTGGTTTCCATACAACACCCAGTGTTCATCCCAACAGGTGCCCTCCTCACTACCCATCACCCACCCTCCCCTCCCTCACACCCCCATCAACCCTCAGTTTGTTCTCAGTTTTTAAGAGTCTCTTATGCTTTGGCTCTCTCCCACTCTAACCTCTTTTTTTTTTTCTTCTCCTCCCCCATGGGTTTCTGTTAAGTTTCTCAGGATCCACATAAGAGTGAAAACATATGGGATCTGTCTTTCTCTGTATGGCTTATTTCACTTAGCATCACACTCTCCAGTTCCATCCACGTTGCTACAAAGGGCCATATTTCATTCTTTCTCATTGCCACGTAGTACTCCATTGTGTATATAAACCACAATTTCTTTATCCATTCATCAGTTGATGGACATTTAGGCTCTTTCCATAATTTGGCTATTGTTGACAGTGCTGCTATAAACATTGGGGTACAAGTGCCCCTATGCATCAGTCCTCCTTTATCCCTTGGGTAAATTCCTAGCAGTGCTATTGCTGGGTCATAGGGTAGGTCTATTTTTAATTTTCTGAGGAACCTCCAC